GAGGCTGAAGCGGGTGGATCAAGAGGTCAGGAGATCGAGACCATGCTGGCTAACATGGTGAAACCCCGTCTCTATTAAAAATACAAAAAATTAGCTGGGTTTGGTGGTAGGTGCCTGTAGTCCCAGCTACCCAGCAGGCTGAGGCAGGAGAATCACTTGAACCCGGGAGCTAGAGGGTGCAGTGAGCCGAGATCGTGCCACTGCACCTCCAGCCTGGGAGACAGAGAGAGACTCTGTCTCAAAAAAAAAAAAAAAAAATCAATAAAGAGCTACTGTGGAAAACAGTCTGGACATTCCTCAATAAGATGAATATGGAATTACCATATAACCTAGCAATTCTCCTAGGTATGCAGCCACAAGCATTGAAAACAGATGTTCAAACAAAAATGTGTACACAAGTGTACACAATGTGTACAGCGACATTATTCACAATAGCCAAAAGATGGAAACAGTCCAAACGTCCATCAGCTGACACGAATGGATAAACAAAATGTGGTACAGCTACACAATGGAATATTACTCAATCATAAAAAGGAACAGAGTTCCTTTCCGAATGAAGTTATAAAATGAATGAGCCTTGAAAACACTATGCTGAGTGAAAGAAGACAGACACAAAAGGCCACATAGCATAGGCCTCCATGTACATGAAATGTCCAGAACTGGCAAATCCAGAGATGGAAAACAGGTAAGTGGCTGCCAGGGACTCGGGGGAGAGTGGAATAGAGAGTGACTACTTAGTGAGTCCAGGGTTGTCCTCTGGGGTGATGAAAATGTTCTGTAACAAGATAGTGGTGACGGTTGCACAATATTGTAAATGTGCTAAATGTCACTGATGAAAAATTTTATCTGTATTTTACCACAGTGCAAAAATTCTTTTTAAAATCTATAAAGAGGCCAGGCACAGTGGCTCACGCCTGTAATCCCAACACTTTGGGAGGCCAAGGCACGCAGATCATTTAAGATCAAGAGCTCAAGACCAGCCTAACCAACATGGTGAAACTTCGTCTTCTACTAAAATACAAAAATTAGCTAGGCACAGTGACGGGCGTCTGTAACCTCGGCTACTGAGGAGGCTGAAGCAGGAGAATCACTTGAACCCAGGAGGCAGAGGTTGCAGTGAGCCGAGACTGCACCACTGCACTTCAGCCTGGGCGACAGAGTGAGACTCCCTCTAAAAATAAAAATAAAAATAAAGAATAAAGTCCATAAGGAAAATCAGACCCTTGAATGTAAAGACTTTTGGAGTAAACACAAGAGTGATAAAGATGCATTTGAGAAAAAACAAACCCTAGGATCAGGATCATCATCAACACCCCACCGAAGGCCACACCTCCTACCCACCTTGTCAGGCTGGGAGGTGTTGGGTGGCTGCTGGAAGGTGAGCAGGTGTAGGCCAGGCAGGAAGCTCTGGGTGACGCAGGCCTCCAGGGACGTGACGAAGACAGGCGCAGGCCCCCACCAGCCCACCGTGCCTGAGATCTGCTCCCCTCGGCAGCGGGCCTGCTCTGAGAGGACAGGGGGTGGGGGCTGGTGGGTCAGTGTGGAGTGCTTCGGTCCCCTCCCCCCAGCCCACTGCTGTGGACACTCACCAGGCCGAGGGAGGCAGCTCTCATTGTGCACACACCAGCCCAGGGTGCCGGGTCCCCGCGGAGGGGCTGTGGGGCTACTGAAGGCCAGGCAGGCCTGGCAGTCACCCAGGAGGCGGCCCAGGCCCAGGCAGCTGGCGGCTGGACACTGTGAGGAGGAGAGGGGAAAGGGCTCACTGTCCACTGGAGCTCAAGAGATCTGGGAAGGAAGGGCTGTGGATACAGGGTCCTGCGATGGAAAGGGCCAAAAAACTGAAGAACAGGGAGTTGAAAGACGACTTGGAATGTGAGAGATTCAGAGGACGGGGGATGCGGGGATGGGGTCACGGGTTCAAAAGGGTCGGGCTGGGTGGGATAGGCAAAGATTCCGGCTCCGCGGTCTGGAATCAGGAAGGAGGATCTTTGGCATGAAAACAAGTCTCCCAGTTGAGGGAAAGTCCTTGTCCAGCTGGTTAGGCAGAGGGAGACACTGAGGGCAGGTCTGTGCTAGGGAACAGAGGGTCTAGGGCAGTCACTTACAGCCCCCAAGGGGGTCCCAGGAGGGGGTGCAGCTTGGCAGGCTCCTTGGCACCAACTGCATTCCGGGTCCCGGGAGCACACGCTGTGATCTGTGTACATGGAGCAGTAGTCCAAGTGGTACTACAGGGAGGCAAGGGGACGGAGGACAAGCCTCTCAGGCCTGGGCCGGCCTCCCAAGTCCCCGTTCGCTTTAGCTATCCCAGAGGACCCTGAGTGCTCAGCACGTCCATCCGTTCCTCCCCCAGGCCCAGGGACCTCTAGCTCCTCTTTCCTCTGCTCTGGGGATCTCCTTCCCTTCCCTCATGGCCCTAGGGATCCCCCCTCCTTCCCCCAGGGATCCCCTCCTACCTTTCCCCTCACCTGTGGAAACCCTGCTACCTCCTCCCCCAGCCACCCTTTCCCTGTCACCTCAGTGCTCACGTCAGGGGCAGGTGCCTGGAACACAAAGGGGGGCACCTTGTACGCCATCAAGTCCCCACGGGGCCGGCCGCTGTACCCCCCAGCCACCAACAGGACGCTGCCACCAAGCACCGCAGCCACATGTGAGTACCGACCACTGGGAGGCGCTGCTCGGCCTAAAGGAATAGAGACCCCAATGACATTATTAGACTCTCAGCCCCTCCACCACCTCCATGGCTCCCGATTCTCCTGGGCCACAGTCCAGCCTTCTATTCTGGTGGCTGCTTCAACCTCACCTACCCAAGGACACTCTCCCAGCCCACCTGGCCCTGAACAAGCTGAGCTCCCTCACCCCTACCCAAATCATCTTTCTGATCTTTAGGGTCAGAAAGACTTGGGTTCAAATCCCGGGTCTACCACTTACTTGGGTTCAAATTGTGGATCAACTACTGACTAGCTGTGTGATCCTGGACAGGAGACTGAACTCTGAGTCTTGGTTTCCTCCTCTATTAAAAGAACCATCATCTCGTCCTCAAGGAGCTGGGAGGACGGAAGAATCTGCTGAGCCCCCAGCAGGCTGCCTCAGTCTCCTGTTTTTGTCTGTCTAGCACCAGTCTCTTTTCTGATGATAGCGCCTGATTTTCCTCTGGAAAACCAACCTTTCCCTCTCCCAGTCCATGAGACTTAGGTGGAGTTGTCCCTGGTTCTGGCAGAAGTGAGGCCTTAGCCCAGGCCCATCAGTCTCAGTGACTGGCTCGGGGAGGGGTACAGGGCCTGATTCTCAATTCTTGGGGCAAAGACACTCTCTTCTCTCTGGGCATTTTACAGCAGTAGGAGGTAATCCACGAGCTGCCTGTGACCATCTACACAAGGCAAGAGACTGAAGTGAACCCAGCTGAAAAATTGAGTGAGAAGTGGCCGATGCCATTTTGTGAGCACCTAGATCCAGCCCAGCCTGAAGATAGGCCCTATAGTTTTCACTCAAGTCAGCCAGGAAATTCTCCTTTTCGCTTAAGCCAGCTGGGTTGGGTTTCTGTCAGTTACAGCCAAGAATCCTGACTGACAGGTAAGTGGTCAGTGAATGGTGACTTCCCTACCCTCTTACCGACCTGCATGCACTGTAAACGTGTGGGACTTGGCCCGGGGAATCACAAACTGCGAAGCAGGAAGAGGCCTCCAGAAATATCACACTCCTGACTCCTGCCCAGTGAAGGGGACCAAGGGATAGGCAGACGAGACCTAGAATGAGGGCCTCAGACACCGGGTCTGGACTTTATTACTGATGGTCACACAGGGTTCCTCTAGGGCCTTTCCTCCTCCCCATTCCTTAAGTGGTAAGGTTCCTTCCTTACACCTGCCCTCTCCTCTCTTTCCTTTTCAGGGAGGAGGAGTGAACAGATGGGCCTCTGGGAAGCCCACAAGTCCCGGAAGTGATACGCCCAACCTGTGGGTATAAGTATCTTCTGAAGAGAGGGCATGTGGCTTTCATCTGATTTCAAAGCAGTGTCTGATCTAATAAGAGTGAAACATTTCTCCATATCTCCTCCCTGGTGACTCCTCTGGCCCTGAGACAGGACCCTCACTGCTATACGAAAGACAATATGGCTGAGCGTAGTAGCTCACGTCTGTAATCCCAGCACTTTGGGAGGCTGGGTCTCACGTAGCTCGCTTGAGGCCAGGAGTTCAACACTAGCCTGGACAACACAGCAAGACCCTATCTCTAAAA